AATAGGAGTACCTTTTTTGTACTCTCTAAGCATGTTAAATTATAAAGAGTGTTCTTTTTTGATGTCCGAATTTGAACTAGAAGTTAAGACTCGTTGATCTTGTATTCAGATCGCCTTATTCATAAGGGAGCATGTGTTTCGTAACCTTAATTCATCAATACTGTTAAATCTCATCAAGATCAATACTGGTAGATTGGTCAAGCTCAGTTAATCAGCAAGCTGCTGATTAAGAATAGGAAAGTCACAACGTTGATGCTAACGTTGAGCTCTTCCAAGGAGAGGCTTGGAAAGTTTCACAAAAAGCCAATGGCACATGTTACAGAATTTTGGTTTAAAAGGAAAATAATGCCTATGATATGCAGCTAATTGAGGTAAATGGCTAAATGCAAATGAAAATCACCCAAGATCGAAGACAGTACAATTAACTAGACCAACCTTGCGGAAGTCTCCCTCGGCCAAGCTCTCAATCAACTCTGGACCTGCTGAGAAGAATCCTCGTCCAAGAGGACTATACGGAACAATTGAAATTCCTAATTCTCTGGAAAAGGCATTTACTCAGAAGAACCTCCATGTTATCTGTAAGAGTGAACTCTAAGATACACATTACCTGCAAGTTGGAACTATTTCTTCCTCAAGATCTCTGGTCCACAATGACCACTCCATCTGAACAGCTGTTATTGGATGCATTGCGTGTGCCCTTCTGATTGTTGCTGCACAAGCCTCGGATAAACCTATGTATTTGATTTTACCCTCTTCAACCAGTTTCTTCAGTTCTCCCATCTACACGCTATGCCACACAATATCATAAAACAAAATAATAACAATAAGCACAATAAACAAAATGCCGATTATATTGTTAGATAAAGCCTCGAGATACTCCATTGTCGAAATGTTGATTCTTCTATTTGACAGGAGTATCATCTTTATTGACACTCTTTCATCCACCTATCCTTCTCTCTCCCCATATTTTACGTTACTTTTTTATAGTAGAAGATTAATTTTGTCTCGGTGATGCTTTCAAAAACGATAGTAGTAGCTAACAATGATGTAGCTTCTTCTCCTTAAAAGGTCAATTGTCAAATAATATCATACTGCACATGTCATACAAAAACATTCAACCTTTTCTAGAATCCTGATCTCCACAATGATTTCCATATATACAGGTCTTAGCTAATCTTTGTTTGTGATTTCATCATGAAGCATTTCGTCAGTGACAGAGTGTAGAGTGTAGAGTGGGTAAATGTGACATAAAGAAAAATTCTTTCATAGTTGGAGAACTATGAAATTACAGTAAGCATAGATGAGTGTTTCTTTTACAAAGTATACTTTATCAACACAAAAATTTCAAAGCATTGGCCTATCCTCCGAGAATTCGAGAGAAAGTGAGAAACACATAACATTTCTCACATAGCAGAAGATTCAATTCAACCTTTTTGTACACCCCTTTTTTCTCTACTGTCAGAAGAACATTATTCCGTCTCTGACTTTATCTTATGGATTGACAAACAACACGTCAGCTATGTTAATCAGACTTTCCCAAAGTACTGCCTTTGGAGGATCCGACACGCACCCATCTCTGTCAACACTTTTGAAGAGTCCAAGAAATATAGTGCATCAGAAGATCTTCATGAATATGTCAGTTTGGCAATATAAAAGTGGATGCAAGTAAAATAGCTCGGGACCGTTTCCCACACAGTTGATTCGATCAATTCTTTTTTTTTAAAAGACCAGAAGATTTTTGCGATTTCTAGCCAAGCTATATCCAAGTGAAATCTGCTTTTATCCAAGTGATTAACTGGTTACTGTTACCTCTTTACACAAATCACACAATCCAACAATTCGCTAGAAATCAACAACAACATACCTAGTGTAGTCCCACAAAGTGGAGTCTGGGTGAGGATAGTGTATACACAGACCTAACCCCTACCTCGTAGAGATAGAAAGGTTGTTATAGATAGACCCTCAACTCAAGGAAAAATAGCTCATAGTAATCTAGAAAAAGAAGTAACAGAAATACAAGAAACAACAGATAGTGACACAACAGTACTACAACAAGTTTGCTAGAAATCCTCAAACATAATAAATGGAAAAAAAAAATAGAAGTAAGATGTCAAACCGTGATTTCAATAGGCACTCGGATATCAATCCGATGAACATAATAAAGATCAATGCAGTTGATATCTAGTCGCTTCAAGCTAGCTTCACAACAAGCTCTTACATACTCTGGTTCACCACAAATGTCCATTTTCCCTTCTTTCAAACTTATGCCAAACTTGGAAGCTATTTGTAGTTTTTCTCTCATTCCTTTGATTGCCTAAACAAATAAAATTTAGAATGCACATATTTAACTACCTCAATTAGTGTATATGCTATTGGAAACTTCATTTAAGTAATTTGATAAGATGCAAACTAAAATTCTAGAAAATGTTGTTAATATCTAGAACAAAAAGGGGAGTAATTACAACTTGGAAAGCAGCAAGGTACAACACAATAAAGCAGGAGGTACAACACATTAAAGCAGTAATTGTTACATTTATTTTACCTTGCCGATGAGAAGTTCATTGATGTGGGGTCCATATTGATCGGAGGTATCGAGGAAGGTGACGCCGCGATAGATGGCGTGTTGAATGAGATTGATCATTTCAGGTTCGGGCTTGGGCGGGCCGTGTTAGGAGACATGCCTCTACAGCCCAGCCCGATTCTAGAAACTTCTAGGCCTTGCGAGCCTAATTTGACCCTCGGAACTTCACTCGCCGGCGTTTCCATTTTCTCCGGCGAATCTCCGTCTGAACAGTGAGCTCAGAGAATATGTTGACCAAAGTTTGACCAGTAGGTGTTTGGACTAGGATTTGGCTAGAGTTAGTTGGAAAAAAAATAAATATATATTTTGGAATTAAAATTGAAAGGAGCATTCCATGTGAGAGTAAATTTTTTTTTTTTTTGTTCTAAATTGAATAGAATTATTATAATACATAATATGATTAAAACAAATTGTCTTCATCGAGTGAAATATAATATACATATTATGCATATATACTTTTAAATACTTAATTTGTACTAGGGTTAAATTGATATGCGTGTATATTCAAATTTTAGTTAAACACAAATATTCAGTGCTCTTTATTCTCTTTGAATCAACTATAATAATAATATATCAAGTATAATTAATAAATTACGTGAGGTCTATAAGGAGGGTGGATTATACTCGAATTTTTCCTATATCTTTGTAAGGTAAGAAGATTGTTTCTGATAGACTCGAATCAAGAAAACTGTTTGAAAGAAATACAAAATAAAAAAACTATAATGAAAAGTGAAAACATTGAATAAATATTAAAAGTATACAAATATTAAGAAAATGACCATAAATCATGATACTACATATCTCCTCAAATACCATATCTTTTCTTCTTTTTGTTCTTCTTCATATTATAAGAAAATTAAATATTAGTGATTACATCCTTAATAAGAAGTCCAAGAGAGTTATAAGATGATCCACCTTCCTCCATAGCTACTCTACTCTTCTCCTTCATTTCCTTCATTTTTCCTCACTTCATTCTCTTCACTTTTTACCATCAACTTTAATAAACCACTTTCAATTTCTTGAGCACTTACTATATCAACTTGATTATTTTTTCCTTCAAAATCAACAACATAGTCCAATTTTTATCTCTTCACCAAGTCCTAATTCTTTCACTACAAAAGTGCATTCATTTGTTGTTCAGCATAGAGTGGCCAAGTTGCAATTGGTACACCAAAATGTACACTTTCTAGTATTGAATTCCATCCACAATGGGACACAAATCCTCCTATTGATGGATAAGATAAAATTGTTACTTGTGGTTCCTCTTTCTTTTGTTCTCTCTAAGAATCCTTTTGGCAACACTTCTTCATAGTTGTTGTAACTTGTTGGTATATCTACTTTTCCCTTTGGTGGAGATTTTCTTAAAGACCACAAGAACCTATTTGAAAATAACAATAAAACAAAATTAGGAATAGATTTTCGAGGCATAAAAATCTATGTTGCTTAGATTTTTCAAAAATAACATGTACGTGTTAGATTTTCCAAAAATAGAGTAATTTTGGAGAATCCAACATATGCACGCACGACCTAATATTAATTTGGAGAGTCTAGGAGAAAACAACTTTCCTTAAAGGAGATATATTAATAAGCCACTTCAAGATACAAAAAAGAAACTTATACCACTAAAAGACCACCCTTAACTCCTATCAATTAAGTTATCAGTTGGAGTGTTATATGAATCCTCATTATCATAAATGTTGTAAATTATAAGAGTTCATTCACAAGGCTCGAATACAACATCTCTAGTTAATAATAAAGAAACCTTTATCATTTTACCACACCTTTCAGTGGAACATATATGCATTATATGTATGTACACTATGTTACTCCCTTCATTTCATTTTGTTTGTCTTACTTTCTATTTTAGTCTGTTTAAAAAAAATGTCTCTTTTCTTTTTGACAACTCTTTAACTTCAAATTTACATGTGACATATTTAAGACCACGAGATTAATTGACAATTTGGCACATGCTATACATCTTTAGTTAAAGAGCACAAAATTTAAAAGTCCTTTTTATTTTCTTAAACTCTGTGCTAAATCAACCAGACAAGCAACTTGAAACGGGAGAGTAACAAAAAATTACAACTAATAGTACCTGTGACCACAATGCTCCAGTGCAGCTGCTATTTCTTTGATCTGTTCTGCTTCAAAACTTCCCAAACTACCAAAACACAAAAACACAACAGAGGAATCCTGTTGATCATCTAACCACTTAATAATACTTTCAATCTCCAATGAATTATTTCTAAAATGGCCACTTTTTTCAAAACTAACCACTGGACCAACTGGATAAATTTTTGGAACCATCTTAGAACCCCAAAGAGCCTGAAGAGAAAACGATTCAAGCTCGAAAAAAGTATTAACAATAATCCCTTTAGTCTCTTTAAATCAACGAATTCCATCAAAAAACAACGTTGAGGCAAGTCTTGAATCTAACAAATGCTTAGGCAAAACTTTAGTAGGACAAAGATTTTTAAAACTTGGGATTGATAATGCCTCGTTAGAGTTCATGTACCTGGACGTATCTGAGTGTTGTTCATTTCTTAAGGTCTCGAAATGAAGACATAAGCCAAGAAAAGAAGCGTTTGAAGCAAAGTAAATGTAACTAGGGACATTAAATTCGTTAGCTATGTCAATCATCGAGGTACAAAACATGTCAAGAATAAAACCATAACATGAACTTGTTTTACAAATGTTGTGAACATATTCACGTACGAGTGATTTGTGACCATCGATGAAATTATAGAGGAATGTTTCATGGTTATTGAGGAATCCAGATGATGTTTTTTCGTCTAGGGAGATATCGATGAATTTTAAACGAGGTTGAGAAGTGAGTGATTGAATAAAATTTTGAACACCATAGTCTAAGGGAAGTTCCATGATGAGAAAAGAGATGGAAAATTTTTCATCTTTATTTAGAATTTGTTTTGCAAATTCAATGGCTGATACAATGTGGCCTAATCCTGCTAAAGGAATGAAAATTAATTCTTTCATGGTGACGGAGTATTTCTTTTTTGTTAATTTATTTGTGGGAAAAGTATTTAGAGTTTAATAGATATATCATGATAGAAGTTGTGGTGTTTTACTAACAGAAAATTTGAAGTTTCAAACTTCTGATAGAATTTTGACAAGTATTTAGGTAAGAAAGGTCTTTGGATAGTGACATTGGTATGGTATGAATGTGAGAGGAAACTCATTATGAACCATAAAATGGTTATAAAGTAAAGGAATTCAATTTACAAATGATAATGAGAAATGGAGATAAAGGATTTTTTACGTTACTTACTTCGATGTCAGATTGTGTTTGACTGGATATGAAATTTGAAGGGAATAAAGGGGTAGAGTTCAAGTTCTAAATACAAAAATATTTGATTAATAGAGAACGCTTTACTTTGAATAAATTTACTTAGCGTGAATTTATCGACTAGCATGTGTATTAAATGACAATGTGTTCTTTACACCTGGAAAGACAAGTATTTAAGGTTATCTTTGACCCAGAAAACATGTAGACCTTTTTTATTCTATAGTCAAATCTCTTTGTTAACAATATTGTTTGATTCGATATTGTTTTTGACTAGTATAACAAATTGATATGTAATAATAACATATAGTATATATAATATAATATGAAAGATTGATTATCACCGAAAATATAATTATGATAGTAAAATATTATTATAAAGGATGGAGGTCTGACTATAGTACCTACAAAATGGTTTCTGGTTTGATTCTAAATTGAAACATGAAGATATTCAATAATGTGTTGAAAAATAGTCTGTTGTCTTTGTAGTTAATTAATTGACAAGTTCAAATATTTTACTTCTTACTTTTCTTACAAAGGACTTGTCCAAATTCTTGATGAATGTACTTTTTGAAGTTTCCTTTTGTCAAATTTCCAACAAATTTCTATTGAAGAAATTTATATGAACTCTCCTTCTCTGCCCATACGGTAGCATAAATTAGCGTAATCTTTTCCCTAAAATTAAGTTTTTCAAATGTTAGATATATGAATTCTCCTTCATATGACAACGATTTTCGTGTCATAAAACTACACTTTTAAGAGTGACCTTTGCTACCTTATAGTTGATCAACAACTTAGCATATCAAAAGAATTTCGAACATCAATTACAATTAGTCATGAGTCAATGGAGAAAATAACAATTCCATGAAATTTTATACTATACTATGTAGTCATAGAAAAATTGACTAGATGTACATGACCTATTAATATTGGATGCCCCAATTTTATAAACTATAATTGGAATACCATTTACAATTTAATTTTCGTTTATATAAACATATACAGCACAATTTGGTAAATAGAGTAATGATACTGCAGATTCCGCAGTTATGCATCACATAGATAATATTGAAATTACTACCTTCAGATAATTGCATAAATCAGAGGATCTGAATGACAAGACAATAACCTAATTACGAGAAACTATTTTATGAAACGACATCACTAAATCAACTAGGTATGGAACTTCACAAATGTTGGGATAACCTGTTGTCTTGAAAATCATTTCTAATTATAAGTATTTCAGAGATAACTTGTTATGAAAGTGTTTATCATAGATTGAAGAAGTTCGTAGAATGACTATAAAAACAAAGAGAAGCAAAAATGAAAAGAGTAGCATAGACTTAACAAGGTTTGTCACATAAAACATGGGTTGATATACCAATCGAACCAAGTATGAGTAGTGCTTTTGGATGGCAAACTTGGGGAAAAGCTCTATATGCGACGATCAATGAAATAGGATTCACCTGATTAGACACACAAATCATACAACACGACTATTTCTTAAAACTTAAAAGTGATGGAAGTACACTGGAAAAATAAATTTTTGGAGCAAAGATGTCGAACTGTGACTTCAATTGGCAACTGAGTATCAATGCAGTCGATATCCAGTCTCTTCAAGCTGGCCTCCCAACAAGCCCTTACATATGCAGGTTCACCACAAATGCCCCTATTTCCAAACTTGGTAGCTATTAGTAATTTCTCTCTTATTCCTTTAATAGTCTACATGAAATCAGGTAGTTGAACATGAACATATTATATACCTGTAAAACTCAGGTTCAAAATGTAAAGCATAGATTTACGAGGATACAGATTCGAGTCTCTGGAAGATTTATCAGTTTGAGATACTCCAAGTTTTATGTAAATCAAGTATATAGAAGAACAGGATAAATGCTCTACTTTATAGAGTGTTAAGCAGCCATGGTATCAGATGAAAAAGTACAACTTGAATTCGCATTAAGCATAAACAATTCTAAACCATATGATAACATTGAAAAATCGACAACTCTCAACAAGCAAGTGCAGGAAGAGCAACCTATATTGTAAATAACCAAAGGCTATATATTACTAATATCTTTTTCTTGCTTTGATGACTAATTTCTAACATACAAGATTGCAGAAAATAATATATTTTACAGACTCTAAGGTCCAAAAAATCTAAAACTGCTAATCTTGAACTCAAATCTAAAATCAAGAATCTAGAAAGGATATACTTGTTATTATTTAGATACCAAAAGTCCATACTTTCATTTAACTACCGCAGTGTCCCAGCTTAGCTTGCACGAACCTCAACTATTCCAAGTCATTCCAAGGGGTACCCACAACTCTATCCACCTAATTTTTGCCTTCACTACCATTTGAACCTGAAATCTCATGGTTCTCGACCCACATCATCGACCACTAGGCCACCCGTTTGGTAAAAAATCCATACATTTTTGTAGAGGATCATTAAATGGATTTCATTACACTTTGAAAAAGATAAAGATATCTACTTTAACTCCAATTAAACCTGAAAATTCATAGAATTAATCATAAAATTTCATTTTTTTCGCAGTGAACAATAAAATCACTACAGGATCAGACAGGTACACCAAAGTAAGCAAGAAGTACAACTAATTACTTGTTTTAAAAAAGGATCTTCACCTTACCAATGAGGATTTCATTAGTGAGAGGTCCATAGACATCAGAAGTATCAAGTAAGGTCACTCCAGTATCAATAGCGTGATGAAGTAGCTTCATCATTTCAAGCTCGGGCTTGGGCGGGCCATAGTTACCGGACATACTCATACAGCCAGCCCGATCCTGGAAACTTCTAGTCCTTGTGACCCTAGCTTTATCCTCGGTACATTTAACAGTGTCGTTTCTTCCATTTTCTCCGTCGGTCTGAGTTTTCTGAAATACCGAGCTTTTCTCCTGGGTTCAATACAGGATTATGGGGGAAGCAATATAAGGCTGCTGTGAATCAAGTATGTGCTTGTCAACAATGGAATTCAATGCTTGCTTTCGCTTAATTGAGCATGAGGATTTGTTTGAATTTGACAACTGCAGCAAAAGCTCAGAGAGTCTATTGTAACGTACATGCTCATCCTCTTATATTGTAACACCAGTACCGATTGCTAAGTTTGTTTTGATTGATCAACTCTTTTTATCAGATGATCTTTTACTGTTGCCTTCTGTATCACTGTCAAAATCATTGTTTCGTTTCTGTTTTTCTAATTAGGTGGTTGTTAATTTCTATAATCCCTTCATCTTACACCTTATATGTACACAAGTTGTTTTTCTGGTTGAATACAAAAAACACCTCTAGAGAATACTAAGTTGAATTGAAAGATGAGTATTCCTGTATGAAATCTAATTTGCATCTATGTTGTTCACGCTCTTCAAAAATGTGGTCACTTCCACATATTACATTTTTGGAGGATCCGACATGGACGCAACAATTTTTTGGAGAGTTTGAGCATCATATGAAGCCAAATACATATCACTTGTTGTCAAACCCCTACTCAGCTTTCCAGGAGGACAATGGTGGCGCACGTCTCTGAATTTATCCATCAAAATAAGATTTACCAGTGTGAATTATAAGACTCTAAATAAGTAGAACTGATTTATTTGCAGTAATTAGAACGACAATGTGATTAATAAAGGACAATGTGAAAGTTCAGGTAGCCAATTAATTAGTTGTCTCTGTAGCCAACTGTCCTCTCCTTCCACACACTTTGATTAATCATTGGGAATAGATACTAACCTTTCAATTAATTAGTTGTCTCTCTGTATATATCATAAGTCATGTTATTTCATTAAATTATGCAACTATTGACTTTGAAAGCCAATGGGAATGCATATTATATTAACCTGACAATGTATTAGCTGTCTAAAAATTAATATGATAAACCCAATAATTATTCATTAAATAATACAACCATTGACTTTTTTGTAGGATTTAGATCCAGTCCTTTGGTTAAACCATAATTATTCATCTACTAATCTTGTTAGAGTATGACACAAACATTTCCTCATTGTTCTAAGTTAATTATGCTCATATTAATCTTTTCTTGTTAGCTTAATCCTACTCCAATCTTTATCAGGTACTTTTCAATAAACATTTTTCTAAATCTCCCTTTGAATTTTTATCCTTTCTTAAGTGGAATCTGTTTTTTATATAAGTTATCAACAACTCTTTTTCTTGGATTGGATCAGAACTTGGAGATACAAAAAGGCAAAAGGAGATCGATCAATCGACTACTCGTCACGCTCGAAAATTGTAAGATATATTGAATATTAACTTTCTATTGCTTTCCAAAATCTCAAAGTTCTTAAATTGATACAACACCTGAGTTATTAATCCATATTACCAATAAACTTCATGAAACACAATGGCACTTCAAATATTGTGAATATGGATTTGATGTAGACATTTATGATATTTGTCTTGTATGAAACACTATGGCACTTCAAAACACTTGTGTTTTAATTTCTGATATGGTCTAGATAACAAAAAAATGGATATCACATATATTAATTAGTTTATGCTCTGTTGAACCAGTTAAAGAAGTGTTTTATTTTTGTTTTCCTCTTTAAATTTCTATTTTTTTTAAAAAAAAAGTGATCAACAGCAGATGGCTGGTTATATGTCTTTATAGATACAAATTGGGGGTAGGGGAATTGAACCGTCATAAGGTGAAAGTTGTGATATCCAACCAACTGAGCTACTAATCGTGCTATCTTTCCTCGCACACTTTTTTGATTAATCATTGGGAATGCATTAGTTGTTTCTCTGTACTAATAATTACTAGAGAAAAAGCTCAAATATGTCATCCAATTTTGAGGAAAAAAAACCTCATTTAATAGTTGGGCTCAATCATGTCATTGCCGTGAAGGGGCATGTTGTCCAGTTTCAACTAAGATTCTTGCCAGCCTAAATTCTTGTCAATCCTTTTCTTTGACCTGCTCTTATCGGTCCGCCCTCCATCATTAGCATCACACATTGATATTAGTTTTCTTTTGTCTAAAGAAAATGACTAGTAGTTGAGTGACCATATGAAAGTGAGTGAAATGTGATTTTCTGTGATAATATGCACCATTTGTTAGATGAAAATGGTACATAAAATATACTATCTTTCTCAAGCATCGACATATATAGCTACAAACACTAGGTATGAAAGACATGAATAAAAATGTTGTTGTTAATGAACCTAATTCCAAGAGTTGGTGAACTAGCTTGCAGGAATTTTCAAGAGAAGATGGCTGAAAATGAAATTGAGGAAATGTTAAATCACCTAAGAAGGATCAAGAGTGGAGGTAATCTGGATAGCGCCAAGATTGATGAAATTAAGAGACTTGAAATGTCGCTAAGAGTTTTGAGAACCTTTATAAAGTATCGTGATGTTCTTTTTTGTGATTCCTTTGTCAAACACAAAAAGAATGCCAAATTGACTATGGCAATGCTTCACCAGGTATTGGATGGGATTCCAGATGAATGTAAAACTAACCTTAATCTGGAAAGGCTAGAATCACATTTGTTGGAATTCGTGGAACGTGATACCATTTTAAATAATAATTATGAGTTGAATGATCTTGATCTGTCAGAATGTATGGATTGCCTCGAAAAGAATCTAAATGATGTACTGATACTCTGCCTGGAAAGTGCTAGGTCTGACCCTCCTGAAGAAAACCATGAAATACACAGATTTTTAAAGGAACTGAAAGTTGTTCAAAAGAAACTGAGATTTTTGACATATTTATATGCCACAGAGATAAATGGTTACATCAACCATGAGAAGCTGGAATGTTTGGATACTCGAATTCAGTTCATGGCTAACAATGTGGGACATTTTTGTCTTGCTATTTCTGATGATGTAAATGATATTGATGACGATGACGATGAGGATGTGTATAATTATATCTTGAATAATCCTTCTTATCTATTATGCTTGATTGTGTTAGTGGAGTTGGAAATGAAGAAGATTTTTCTCCATGAACTAAAGGCTTCAAAGTTTACTCATTCAAGAACTTTCAAGGACAAGAAATTACTGAAAGGATTTTCTCATCATCTCCACAAACTGTTGATGTATCTCAGAAAAGAAAAGCTCGAGAACTTTCCTGATGATGTCTCTGCTCAAAATATTGATGTGGCAATAGAGTTCTTGTTGGTCTTCCTTGATGCTGATGTGTCAAATCATGTTATTAATGGTAACTGGTTGAAGGAGGTTATGGAAAAAGTTGGAGCTATAGCGGGTGATGTTCTATATGTGATCCAAAAGCTTCTTCCTAGCTCTATAAACAGAGATGACACTAGCAAAATACGTCTTTGCTCGTTACAAATATTGGAGAAAACTAAAGATCTGAAGGCACAAGTGGGAGACTTACTACAAATCCTTAAAATTTACTCCATCTCAGTTCCCCACCATTGGTGGATTGAGCTTTCTGGATTCTCTTTCAAGGAAACTGAATGAGATGTCCAAATCTAAATCTGATTTAGATTTCTTGATGAAACCTCTTTTTGGTAATTTGGAGAAAGAGCTATCAACTCAAATATCCATTTTAGAGAAGGAGCTGTCATCTTTATCATCCATTTTCAGAGATGTCGCAAAGGTGCACCATGAACATAAAATTCCTAAAGTTCTTCATAGACGTATCATCAGTTTGGCATATGAATCTGAGGTTGCCATTGACTCTATTCTTTCTCAGTATAATTCTTTTTTGCATATTTTCTGCTCACTTCCTTCAATCTTAAAAGAGATCAAGCAATTAATGCGGAGGTGACTGAGATGTGGTCAGCAGACGTTGCTCTTAAGCCTTGCTATGTGGTAGCACCATTTAAACACCAGCCAACTCGACATAGCAATCCAGTGACTGATGAGGAGATAGTGGGTTTTGGGAATGACACAAAAAAAATGATTAAGTATCTGATTAGAGGTACAAATGAGCTAGACGTCGTCCCAATTGTAGGCATGGGGGGACAAGGGAAAACGACAATTGCTAGAAAGGTGTACAATAGTGACAACATTGTTTCTCATTTTGATGTTCGAGCATGGTGCATCGTTTCTCAAACATATAAACGGACAACGCTATTACAAGAGATTTTTAGTCAAGTTACCGGTTCCAAGGACGAGGGAGATAAGGATGACATCCTTGCCGACATGTTGAGGAAAAGTCTAATGGGAAAGAGATATCTCATTGTATTGGATGATATGTGGGATTGTATGGCATGGGATGACTTAAGGCTTTGTTTTCCAGACGTGAGAAATAGAAGCAGAATAGTAGTAACAACTCGACTTAAGAAAGTGGGTGAGAAAGTCAAGTACCATACTGATCCTTATTCTCTTCCATTCCTCACAACAGAAGAGAGTTGCAAATTATTGCAGAAAAAGTGTTTCAAAAGGAAGATTGCCCGCCTGAACTACAAGACGTGAGTCAAGCAGTTGCAGAAAAATGCAACGGATTGCCTCTAGTGGTTGTCTTGGTAGCTGGAATAATAAAAAAAAGGAAAATGGAAGAATCTTGGTGGAAAGAGGTGAAAGATGCTTTATTTGACTATCTTGATCGTGAATCGGAAGAATATAGTCAGGCGACTATGCAGTTGAGTTTTGATTACTTACCCCATTGTTTAAAGCCATGTCTTCTTTATATGGGGATGTTTCCGGAGGATGAAAGAATTCCCGTGTCTCAATTGATAAGTTTATGGATAGCGGAAGACTTCGTGGTGAACACTGAATCTGGTGAAGATTACTTGATGGATCTCATTAGCAGTAACGTGGTAATGCTTTCAAAGAGAAGTTATAATGGAAAAGTGAAATACTGTCAGGTTCATGATGTAGTGCATCACTTTTGCTTGGAGGAGAGTAGAAAAGAAAAGTTTATGCTGGCAGTGAAGGGACATGTTGTCCAGTTTCAACCTTTGGATTGGAAGGGAAGTCGAGTGATCTTTAGTTTCAGTGAAAAGCTTTCCAAGTCTACTTCTCTGAGATCCAAAATACAGAAGCCTTTCCACCAACACTTGAGGTCACTGATAACGCTCGGAGAATATGTTGATGGGTTTCCCTTAAGGTCTTGGATTCATACATTGCGACTTCTTAAGGTCTTGAATTTGAGTAACGTTAAAGTGAGTTATTTGTCGACAGCTACATTGAAACCACTAAATCACCTGAAGTACATTGCAGTTGTGGAAAGGAAATTCCA